AGAAACAAAAAGAAGGAAGGATCATCTACTTAACAAATGGTGCTGGAGGAGTTGCATAACCATAGGCAAAAAAAAACCAAAAAGACCTAATCTTCATGCCTTTATATAAAAAAGTAACTCAAGTGGATCATATATTTAGATTTAAAATATAAAACTAAAAAAAAAAAACTTTTACAAGAAACCATAGGAGAAACGTCTGAGATCTAGGGCATACTGAATGGTTCAAAAAGCATGATCCATAAGGGAAAAAAATACATTAGATTTCATCCAATTTAAAACTTTGGCTCTGCAAGAAGTCTTATTAAAAGGATAAAAAAATAGGGTATGACCTGGGAGAAAATGTTTGCAAACCATATATCCAACAAAGGACTCACATCCAGAATATATAATGGATGTGTATAGTACTCTCAAACCTCAACCGTAGGCTAAGCATGGTGGCTCACGCTTGTAATCCCAGCACTTTGAAAGGTCAAGATGGACGGAGGACAGATCCCTTGAGGCCAGGAGTTTGAGACCAGCCTGGGCAACATGGCAAAAACCCATCTCTACTAAAAATACAAAAATTAAACAGCATGATGATGCCTGCCTGTAATCCCAGCTACTCTGGAGGCTGAGGCACGAGAATCGCTTGAACCTGGGAGGCGGAGGTTGGAGTGAGCCAAGATCATGCCACTGCACTCCAACCTGGGTAACAGAATGAAACTCTGTCTCAAGAAAAATAATAATAATTATAAAAAACCCAACAGTTAAAAAACAAATTAGTCAACTGGAAAATCATGAAAAGATATGAACACACATTTCACTGAAGAGGAAATAAGCAAATAAGCACATGAAAAGATGTTCAACACTAATTTGCTTCACTAGATACAAATTAAGACCACGATGAGGTATCACTACACACTTATTACAATAGCTAAAATAAAAGACATTGTGACAACACCAAATGGTGACAAGGATGCAGAGAAACTGGACATCTCATTAAGTGCTGCTGGGAAGGTAAAATCTTACAGCCACTCTGGAAAGCAGTTTGGTAGTTTCTGATAAAACTAAACATGCAATGACCACACAATTCAATAATTACACATCAGAGAAATCAAAGTTTATGCCCATCTAGAAACTTGTACATAACTGTTCATAGCAGCTTTACCTGTAATAGCCAATAGCTGGAAATAATCAATATGTCCTACAATAAGTGAATGATCAAACTGTGGTACCTCCATATCATAGAATACTACTCAATAATAAAAATGAACTATTGGCCAGGCGCAGTGGCTCACCCTGTTATCCCAGCACTTTGGGAAGTCGAGGCAGGTGAATCACGACGTCAGGAGTTCGAGACCAGCCTTGCCAGTATGTTGAAACTGTGTCTCTAGTAATAATACAAAAATATCCAAGGCGTAGTGGTGCACACCTGTAGTCACAGCTACTCGGGAGGCTGAGGCAAGAAAATCGCTTGAATCCGGGAGGCAAAGAGTTGCAGTGAGCTTAGACACTGCACTCCAGCCTGGGCAACTGAGTGAGACTCTGTCTCAACAACAACAACAATGAACTATTGACAAACAAATATCAATATCTTGGAGGAATCTCCACGGAATTATGCTGAGTGAAATAAGCCCCTAAAACGTTATATACTGTAAGATTTCATTTGTACAGCATTGTAGAAAAGACAAAATTGTAGAAATTTGATTGTCAAGGATTAGGGATGGTGAATGGCAGGAGAGTGGATATTACTAAAAAATGAGTAACACAAGGGATAGCATTGTGGTGATGGAAATGGTCTGTACCTTCCTCCCCCCAAAGAGGGATTCTTACTCTGTCACCTAGGCTGGAGTGCAATGGCACAATCTCTGCTCACTGCAACCTCTGCCTCTCGGGTTCAAGTGATTCTCCTGCTCAGCCTCCCATGTAGCTGCGATTACAGGGGCGTGCCACAACGACCACCTAATTTTTGTATTTTTAGTAGAGATGGGGTTTCTCCATGTTGGCCAGGCTGGTCTCAAACTCCTGACCTCAAGTGATCCGCCCACCCCGGTATCCCAAAGTGCTGGGATTACAGGCATGAACCACTGCACCCAGCCATGTTCTGTATCTTTTTTTTTTTTTTAATATAAGCTTTATGTAAACTTTAAAGAAATATTAAAAATAAACATTTTTGACAAATTATAATCAAGCACTCAATTTAGGAATGTTAAACACTAATTCTTAACTGAAAATAATGACATCCATAGAATATATCTTGGTGTTGGCCAACATGAAATTTACTTAATATTAGTATTTTATATATGCTTAACCATTCATCCTTCCTAAAATTCAGTTATAACAATGATTTGACTTTATAAGGTGAAGTTTTTTATGTAATACCCTAGAGATAACTTTTTCAGATACAAAACATTTATACCAGCAAGGAAATTATGAAAACATATATAAAGTACACTGAAGGACGTGACTTAAAGGCTGTCTGTATACATAGATGTGTTTCACCTTAGAAAGTACACATGCACATCAAAACACTTTTACTGAATATAGATGCCATTGCATTCTCTTACTTACATTACAAAGCAAACGGCAGGTTCATAAATGTTCTTCTATTATGTATCAACTGAAAAAAAAACATATATTCTAAAACAAAAGTTTTGAAGACACATAGAAGTGGAATGTGCCCGCATTAAGAGCAGAGCTTTTACAAGATCACCTCTGTCCAGCCAGCTCCCACGGACCACTGAAAACAGCTGCTACACTGAGAACGACAAGATGGTCTTGTTAATGATTTCACTGGGCTCTCGAATCTCATCCTCCTTGACCACCAGTGGAGGAGAAACCTGATGATGTCACCATGGGTTGGCTTGGCCCAAAGTCCATTATCTCGAAGTCATAGACACACCTTCCAAGCATCACAATCTTTGGTTTCTTTAATAACAATAGCATTTAATAATTATTTTCCTCCTGCGCACAGTGGCTCATGCCTGTAATCCCAACAGTTTGGGAGGCCTAAACGGTGGATTACCTGAGGTCAGGAGTTCGAGACCAGCCTGGCCAACATGGCAAAATCCCGTCTCTATTAAAAATACAAAAATTAGCCAGGCATAGAGGCACGTGCCTGTAATCCCAGCTACTCAGGAGGCTGAGGCAGAAGAATCGCTAGAACCCAGAAGGCAGACGTTGCAGTGAGCCAAGATCGCGCCATCACACTCCATCCTGGGCAACCAGAATGAACCTCTGACTCAAATAAATAAATAAAATAATTATTTTCATCTTACGGCAGTTACATCAGAAAGTGACGTCATGGGTTCATTTCTCAAGATAATATCCATTTTTTTCTGCATTTTCAGCAAGGTTTTCTTCTTCTAAAACCTCAAGGGCTGGGATGGCCACTTGGCAGCCTAGTGGATTGCCACCATATGTGGACCCATGTTTGCCTGGCTTAATGGTCAGCACTATGTCATCGTCCCACAGCACCACCGACACAAAGTATCAGCCCCCAGAAAGGGCCTTTCCAAGGAGGACTATATCAGGTCTGACATTTTCATGATCAACAGCTAGTCATCTACCAGTTCTGGCTAATCCTATCTGTATTTCTTCAGCAATGAACAGAACCAAGCTGGGAGCATGAGATGGGACGAGGGTAAGTTAATATACCACAAAGCTTGCTGTTCTTATGGAGATTCAACTGGTCTTTCTTTCTTCCTTTCTTCTTTCTTTTCCTTCTTTCCTTTTTTTTTTTTTTTTTTTTTAACAGTCTTGCTCTGTCGCCCAAGCTGGAGTGCAGTGGTGTGATCTCAGGTCAATGCAATCTTTGCTTCCTGGGTTCAAATCGTTGAGTGAGCCCAGGAGGTCGAGTGCAGCCTGGGAAACAGAACAAAAGGCAGGGTGGTGCATGCGTGCCAGGCTAAGGCAGGAGGATCACTTGAGCCCAGAAGGTCGAGACCAGTAACTAGCCTGGACAACATAGCAAAACGGTCTCTACTAGAAGCACTAAGAATATTGGCCAGGCATGGTGGCTCACAGCTGTAATCCCAGCACTTTGGGAGGCTGAGGCAGGCAGAACACAAGGGTCAGGATGTGTCTGGAATTGGTGGGTTCTTGATCTATCTTGCTGACTTCAAGAATGAAGCCCTGGACCCTGGCAGTGAGTGTTACAGTTCTTAAAGATGGTGTGTCTGGAGTTTGTTCCTTCAGATGTTCAGATGTGTCCAGAGTTTCTTCCTTCTAGTGGGTTCGTGATCTCACTGGCTTCAGGAGTGAAGCTGCAGACCTTCGCAATGAGTGTTACAGCTCATAAAGGTGGCATGGACCCAAAGAATGAGCAGCAGCAACATTTATTGGGAAGAGCGAAAGAACAAGGATTTCACAGCATGGAAAGGGACCGCAGTGGGTTGCCATAGCTGGCACGGGCAGCCTGCTTTTATTCTCGTATCTGACACCACCCACATCCTGCTGATTGGTCCATTTTACAGAGAGCTGATTGGTCCATTTTGACAGGGTGCTGATTGGTGCCTTTACAAACCTTTAGCTAGACACAGAGTGCTGATGGGTGCATTTACAGTCCTTTAGCTAGACACAGAGTGCTGATTGGTGTGTTTACAATCCTTTAGCTAGACACAGAGTGCTAGACAGAAAAGTTCTCCAAGTCCCCACTAGATTAGCTAGACACAGAGCACCTATTGGTACATTTACAAACCTTGAGCTAGACACAGGATGCTGATTGGTGCATTTACAAACCTTGAGCTAGACACAGGGTGCTGATTGGTGCGTTTACAAACCTTCAGTGAGACATAAAAGTTCTCCAAGTCCCCACCTGACTCAGGAGCCCAGCTGGCTTCACCTAGTGGATCCCGGGCTGGGCTGCCAGTGGAGCTGCCCACCAGTGCTGCATGGGCACCTGCACTCCTCAGCCCTTGGGCAGTCCATGGGACTGGGTGCCGTGGAGCAGGGGGCGGTGCCTGTCGGGGAAGTTCGGGCAGGGTGGGAGCCCACTGGGGGCGGGGCTCAGGCATGGAGGTTTGCAGGTCCTGAGCCCTACCCTGCCGGGAGGCGGCTAAAGCCCAGTGACAATTCGAGTCAGCTCAGGTGGGCAGGCAGTGCTGGGGGACCCGGTGGACCCTCTGCAGCTGCTGGCCCGGGTCCTAAGCCCTTCACTGCCCAGGGGCGGCCACTCAGAGTGCAGAGCCCACCCAGCCTGCGCCCACCCGGAACTCACACTGGCCCGTGAGCACCGCACGCAGCCCCCGTTCCCTGCCACGCCTCTCCCTCCACACCTCCCAACAGGCAGAGGGAGCCAGCTCCGGCCTCGGCCAGCCCAGAGAGGGGCTCCTACAGTGCATCCAAGTGCTGAAGGGTTCCTCAAGCACAGCCAGAGCGGACACCGAGGCTGAGGAGGTACCGACAGCGAGCGAGGGCTGCTAGCACGTTGTCAACTCTCACGGAGATCGAGACCATCCTGACTAACACGGTGAAATCCCATCTCTACTAAAACAAATACAAAAAATTTAGCCAGGCGTGGTGGCTGGCACCTGTAATCCCAGTTACTCGGGAGGCTGAGGCAGGAGAATGGCGTGAACCCGGGAGGCGGAGCTTGCAGTGAGCCGAGATGCGCCACTGCACTCCAGCCTGGGCGACAGAGCGAGACTCTGTCTCAAAAAAAAAAGAGAAAATTAGTGGGGTCAGGGTGGTGTGAGCCTGTAGTCCCGAGGCTGAGGCAGGAGGATTACTTGAGCCCAGGAGGTCAAGGCCAGTCTGGCCAACATTGCGGAACTCCATTTCTACTAGCAAAAACAACAACAACAACAACAAAAATAGCATGGGCCGGGTGGCTCAGGCCTGTAGTTCCAAGACTGAGGTGGGAGGATTGCTTGAGCCCAGGAGGTCGATACCAGCCTGACCAACATAGCGAAAGCCTGTCTCTCCTAAATAAAATAAAATAAAATAAAATAAAATAAAATAAAATAAAAATAAAAGCATTAAAAAATTAAAAATTATCAGGGCAAAATGGCACACCTGTACTCCTGAGGCCACGGTGAGGTTGAGCCACACTTGAGCCCAGGAGGTTGAGGCCAGCCTGAACAACATAGTGAAACCTGGTTTCTACTAAAAAAAAAAAAAAAAAAAAAAAAAAATAGCGTGGGCAGAGTGGTGCAAGCCTGTAGTCCCGAGGCTGAGGCAGGAGGATCCCTTCAGCCCAGGAGTTTGACGCCATCCTGGTCAACATAGTGAAACACGTTTCTTTAAAAAAAAAAAAAAAAAAAAAAAAGCACAGGCAGGGTGGTGCATGCCTGTACTCCCAAGGCCGAGATGGAGGATCACTTGAGCCAGGAGGTCGAGACCAGCCTGGCCAACATAGCGAAAATGTCTCTACTGAAAAATCAAAAAATAAAAAATATTAGTGGGGGTGGGATGGTTCACACCTGTAGTCCCGAGAACGAGGCAGGAGGATTGGCCAAGGCAGATGTAACCAACACCACAATCACGTCCCATAAGTAAATACATTTTCCTCTCTCCAGGGCTACAGCTAAAGGATGGTAATTGTGCGCACCACATTTAGATTCCCTTTCAAAAATGTAATCAGAGGTTGGAGGGCCTTGGACTGTTTTGTTGTTGTTGTTGTTGTTGTTGTTGTTGTTGTTGTTGCAACAGATATAGAAGCCACTTAAGAATGAACGCCGTGACTAAGTAAAGCAAAGCTCTGCAAATGTGCTAGTTTGGAAAACATTGTGTCTTTCAAGTAGAAAAATCACAGATGACTATTTTTTTCTTCCCATGGTTCAGACTAGAATACAGATGTTTAACCCAAGATCCAGGGATGGTCCTCAGAGAGATCAAAATCTCCTGACGGTGCCTGACGACCACCCACTTTACCGTACAAAGTGTGGCTGGAGAAGGAAACAATATTCAGCAATATCACTGCCCACAGATGATGCACCAATCAGGGCAGTTAGTGAACTCCACCTGGCCAATCAGAAGTCAGAACAATAGGGAGAACAAGCGAGGCCGATGTGGCTTGTATCTGTCCAGGCTCCAGGGACAGAACCTTCTCAAAGTGGGGGTGGAGACTCTGATTTTCCCGCCTAAAGCGTTCCCTGGGATTGCTCTGACTTTCTCTCCCTTTCCATTCTTCCACACTCAGAGTAAGCATGCGCTGATTTTCTCTTTCCACTCTTCCTACTCCTCCCCTCCTCTGTGGTGCATTTGTTATCTAGTTTTAATAAGGAGTGCATATGAGGCAGGCCACCATCTCAAATCCTTCCTGTCAGTTTCTAACTTTTTCAGGTTTGGGATTTTTCCTAGGAACTCTATAGTAACTTAAGAAATTTGGGCTGGGCACAGTGGCTCACGTTTGTAATCCCTGCACTTCTGGAGGCCACAGCTGGTGGATCACTTGAACCCACCAGGCGGAGGTTGCAGTGAGCCATCATCATGTCACTGCACACCCGCCTGGGCAACAGAGTGAGACCCTGTATAAAAAAAAAAAAAATGAAAAAACTCACTAAAATATTTCCTCCTGGGCTCAAGCGATCCTCTCACCTAGGCCTTGGGACTACAGGTGCACACCACCCAGCTTATGCTCTTTTTTTTTTTTTTTTTTTTTTGGTTTTTTAGTACAGATGGTTTCGTTATGTTGGCCAGGCTGGTCTGAACCTCCTGGGCTCAAGCGATCCACCCACCTTGACCTCCCAAAGTGCTGGGATGGTACAGGCCTGTGCCACTACCCCCAGCTAATTTTTTGTATTTTTTGTAGACACGGGGGTTTCGCTGTGTGTCCCAGCCTGGTCTCGACCTCCTAGGCTCAAGTGATCTGCTTGACTCGGCCTCCAAAACTGCTGGGATTGCAGGAGTGAGCCACCGCACCTGGCTGATTGCTGCATCTTGAAATGCCCCACATTCTCTCTAAGTGACGGCGGGCTCTTGTGGTCTCAGAAATTCAGGCTCTCTTCCTTCTGATAATTTACAGATCACCCAGTAATAGCCTCTAAACACGTTCATTGTAGTGATGCTCATTTCTCTTCAACAGAACAGAACCCCCCATCCCTCTGCCTGATCAGATCCATCACCAGAGAGACCATGTTATCTCTGGGACTCACTTCCCTTCCTTTATTTATTGAGTGGGGGTGTCAGAATGTCCCCACTGAATTACATAGTCACATTCCTGCCTCCCCAACAAGGGTCTGTGTATCTTTCAGGGTAAGACTAGCCCCAGGGAAACTACTAACAACATTAGCCAATCCCCTCCCAAAGACTCAAGGCTGCTTTGCCCATAGGAAACCTGTCATCCTCAGTCGATATTTCTCCCACAGACCCCTGGCTCCCTGTTTTCATCTGACTTCTCCCCAAGTCCTCACTCAGGGACAGATAAGCCCCAGATGGAGAAATACAGCACCTGATTCCAGGTGACTGACTGGCAGGGTTTCACCAAAGGTCCTGCAGCTGGAAAGACTCAGACTGTTTCTCTTACAGGTCAGACTGGTCCCGGTACCATGAATGGAGACGACGCCTTTGCAAGGAGACCTAGGGTTGGGGCTCAAATACCAGAGAAGATACAAAAGGTGAGGTGACCTGGAGGGAGCAGAGTAGTGGCCCAGGGGACAGTGTGGGGTGACTAGGTTTCTGAGGAGGGGAGGACAGAGGTACTGGAGACAAGGAGCAGGGTCTCGGGGGAGATCTGGACCCTTGGGAGCCTCCCACTCTCACTCTGTCATCACCTAGCATCCCTGGAGACAAGTCTGTGACCGTGCACTACATTTGGTGACTCTCACTCCATTCAGGAAGGTGGGAAGAGAGCCAGCCAGCAGCGTTAAAGCCCTACTGTGTGGCAGGGGAGAAGCTAGAGTGGGTCCCCAATGTTGTCTCAGTTAGCCATGGCATCAACCAGGACGGATTATCATCCCCACTTCCCAGATCCAGCACACAGGAAGCGGCTCCAGCTGAATGGCAGACATGCCTAGCTGAGTCACCACCAGAATTTCTTTTTTTTTTTTCTAGGCCTTCGATGATATTGCCAAATACTTCTCTAAGAAAGAGTGGGAAAGGATGAAAGTCTCAGAGAAAATCGTCTATGTGTATAAGAAGAGAAAGTATGAGGCCATGAGTAAACTAGGTAATAGAAAGTTCTAGGTACAGACAAGTTTGGGGACACATGAGCATCCCTTCTCCTACCTAGGGTACTTCTTAGACTGCAGAAAGTACCCCACATTTTCTTCTACGCAGGGAAAAATCGCAAGGCAGCTTCTGGGTGTTCTGTTCTTCTGGGTGTTCCTGACAGAGCTGAGGGCAGGGATTGGCAACAGTGGAGCTCATACCTGGATCCTGCACGTTTCTCACGCATAGGCGTCTGTTCTGATGAGTCCAAGTGTCTCTGTGGCATCCCAGGCCCCCCCATACCCTCCTTTACACACACACACCCTACTTTCTCTCGGCTTGTCTCTCTCTCTCCCTCTTTTTTTTTTTTTTTTTTTTTTTGAGTCTGAGTCTCACTCTGTCACCCAGCCTAGAGTGCAGTAGTGCAATCATAGCTCATTGCAGCCTCAAACGCCTGGCCTCAACCAATCCTCCAGCCTGAGCCTCCCTAAGTGCTGGTACTACAGACATGAGCCACTATGCCAGTCCTAAGCTTGTCTCTTAAGGAATAAACATTTTGCTTCTTTCTAGGTTTCAAGGTCACCCTCCCACCTTTTATGCGTAATAAACGGGCCACAGACTTCCAGGGAAATGATTCTGATAATGACCCTAACCATGGGAATCAGGGTGAGTAGATGGAAAGGGGCTGGAAAGGGTCTCCTGAAGCCCAACTGCTTTTCAGTTCAGCTACCTGGGAAAGATCCTCAGGCATTTGTTCCCTCATACACATCAGGGCTGAGTGAAAAAAAAAAAAAAAATTGCATGCAGAAAGTTAACTACAGAGGCCATTCATATAAAATTTTAAAACATGCAAAACAAGAATATATTTTTTTATGGATAAGTAAATGGTAAATGTATACAAACATGAATGTGAATAAAAAGTCATCAAATTAAGGTGACTGGCTGTAAGTGGAGGAGGGAGGGCAGGGTTTGGTGAGTGCTGCACAGACAACTTCAGCCATGACTTGTTGATAGTGTGTTTTGTTTGTTTTTGTTTTTGAGATGGAGTTTCGCTCTTGTCACCCAGGCTGGAGTGCAATAAGGCAATCTCAGCTCACTGCAACTTTCATCTCCTGGGTTCAAGTGACTCTCCTGCCTCAGCCTCCTGAGTAGCTTGGGTTACAGGCACCCGCCCCCACACCCAGCTAATTTTTGTATTTTTGGTAGAGACGGGGTTTCACCATGTTGGCCAGGCTGGTCTCAAACTTCCTGACCTCAGGTGATTCACCTGCCTCAGCCTCCCAAAGTGGTGGGATTATCAGTGTGAGCTACCATGCCCAGCCTGTTTGTAGTATTTCTAATATTCTGAATAAATAAATAAGACATAGCATAGCTGTGGGGTAATGTTGAGACCTGACTGGACTCAGTATTATTCCCCATAATTTTCTGTGTGTTTGAAATATTTCTTTTTTAAAGGACATGTTGCTCTTCCTAAGCACTGTTATTGAATCAAAAGACAGTTAAGAAAATGTTACAAGTAAAAAAAAAAAAAAAAAAAAGAAAGAAAGAAACTATTAAAACTGTGAATCTGCCAAAAACTTCCAGAGTTTGTTTCATTAACAGTATGTAGGTATTGGATAAGTTTCTTAGGAGTGAGAGTGATGAACACACTATGTAATAAATATCGCTGTTTTTCTGTATTTTATCAAAACCAAATAGTCTTCTCATCCCCAAACAACCCCGATTCTCCCTGATGAGCTCAGAAGTGAGTTTGAAAGAGTGATCCCTCATCCAACACACAGAGAGCTTTCCCACTTGTCAGTGAGCAGAGATAACATAGGGTGAAAAAAGACAAGTTCTTGCCTAGAGATCTTTGTGCATTTCAGGAATATAAAGGGGACATATGTGTTTACTTGCTCTTCTGCTCTAACAAAACAATTATAAGACAAGGTTAGAAAGTCCAAACTGTCTCCAATAGACCTATTACTCCCCAACAAACAGGCCAGATTCTACCATCTCCCACAATCACTATAAGAGATCTGAAAATTCAGTGCTTGAGTATCTGCCAAGTTTTTGACATTAAAGGAGTGTCTTTATACTGAAAATATTTCAGAGACACTGGAATAAATCATCCATGGGTTCATCACACATTTAACAGCTTAATTGACATACCATAAGATTCACCCATTTCAAGTGTACGGTGATTTTTAGTTGTTGCGCATCTTGAGTGGATACAGTTCAGATTCCTAACCATTCAATTTAATTATTTGGGAAAAGGTAAAAGATATGTAATGAAATAAGATGAGACTGTGACGGGGTTTAAGCCCCATTTGATAAACCATGAGATGGAAAATTCTGAATTGATGCCACAGATAAATGCACCAACCATTACTGAACATAATTCAGAAGCAAATCTCAAATAACTCCTCAACAGTGAGTGGATGGAAAACCCTCTGCTGCAGAATGCCCTCATGCGACAGAAGTCTCTCTAGAGTTTGGAAATCTTTACCAACAAAGAAAAATTCTGATGTATTCTCTTTCAGTTGAACATCCTCAGATGACTTCCGGCAGGCTCCAGGGAATCTTCCCGAAGGTGAGTATCTCTCAAATCTAAAGGACCAGAGAACCTTTGTCCCTCCACGGATGCGAACACTGGTAAGAGTGGGAGAATATAAAAAATGTCCTCACTGCCTCCTTCTCCCCATGTCTATCACAACAACTGATGTAGCATCGATGGCTTGATGATACTAAGAGTTGTGATTCTTAATACTTCTTTTGTTTTCATAGTGATGCCAGATACTATTTTAAGCAGTTCACATGGATTCATTTATTTAATCCTTAAGAAGACCTCTATGACGTTTCTATTATTATCTCCAAATAATAACGAGTCACACACTTCAGTTTTCATCCATATAAAAGCCATGTGACTTGGCGCAAATCTTCTAAGTCCTCTCAGCTCCAGATTGCTGGTCCATGAAATGGAAGTAAAGAATGATAGTTCATGTTACAGATCCTAGTTATCAGCAACATAATAATAAAATGAGGCTATCGGAGTACAGAGATGTTAAAGAATGTTTCTGAGGCACAGTGGCAGTGGTACTCTAATCCAGAGCTCCAAGCCATTTAAAGCTCATTCACGTTTGCATTTGTTTATGAAGTTCAGATGTTGCTCACTAGGGCTTTACCCCATAAAGCCTGCTGGTGCTTCCATTGAGACACCCACTCTCGCAACAGGAAGGACCAGCTGATCTCTGCTCTGTTACTGGGGCCACTCGAATGGCTTAGGAATCCCTTTGACTATTGGCCCCTCCCTACTGTGAGCTCCTTGAGGTCTTTGTCTGCCCCTGGGGCATCTGCAAAGCCTCAGTCCCAGCCCAGGGGATCCTTGTAGGCCCCTGAATGAATGACCCTACAAGTGCTGGTTCAACGTCTGGTTTAGAGGGTAAAGGGATCTGGGAGTTGGGTTGCCAGTGTGGAGACTGAATTCAAAGAAGCATCATGAAAGGTATTAATTATTATTATTACTGCATTTAAACAGTGTTTACAAGCTCAGAGAGGGCTTTCCCTTAGCCTGTTTTACATGTATTGTTCACTATTTCATAAGTGAGGAAGCTGAATAAAAAGTAGCTTAAGGGCTGGGTGCGGTGGCTCACTACTGTAATCCCAACACTTTGGGAGGACAAGGCGGGTGGATCACGAGGTGAAGAGATCAAGACCATCCTGCCCAACATGGTGAAACCTCATCTCTACTAAAAATACAAAACTTAGCGGGACGTGGTAACGACTGCTTGTAGTCCCAGCTATTCTGGAGGCTGAGGCAGGATAATCGCCAGAACGTGGGAGACGGATGTTGCAGTGAGCCAAGATCGTGCCACTGCACTCCAGCCCGGTGACAGAGCGAGACTCGGTGTCAAAAAGAAAAAAAAAAGTAGCTTAAGATTGTTGGTCAGTGACACATCCCAATGCAACCAGAATTGGTATGGGTACCACCTCACTTAATTTCACATTCAATGTTGGTACCTCTGTGGGGTGGTATGCCATATCTGGTACTGCTTTCTTTGCTGCCTAGATTAATTTCAGCAAACCATTTCTTTCCCTCTCCCTTTCCTGTATTCATCTCCCCACACCATCTTTCTCAGCAGTGTTTTGTTGCCTCTCTATGTTTTCACATTTACTCTCCCAGTAGCTGTCTACAAGCTTATATGGGATCTCTTGTATTTTATAGAAGCTCTTCCTTTTGTAGACCTTTTGAATTCTTAGAATGCTATTCTCCAAATCTTCTGTGTACCAAACTCTCAATTACATGGTGATTTTTGCTGTTTGCAAGAATGTCAGTCTTAAAAGAATGTGAAGATAAGCATTCTATCCCTGGAAAGCCCATTCATTTAGGCCATTCCTTCCCCTTCTCAGGTTTCTCCTAATTTAGGCCTGTGTAACTCTCCCAGCGTTTTTGAGAACATTAATTAAGGTAATGCATGTGAAGACGCTTTGTAAGCTCTAAAGCACTATAGAAATGTCACTGATACTGTTTATCTGTGACCTTCACATTATAAAGATCATGCCCGAGAAGCCAGCAGAGGAAGGAAATGATTCAAAGGGAGTCCCAGAAGCATCTGGCCCTCAAAATGATGTGAAGCAGCTGTGCCCCCCGGGAAAACCAAGTACCTCTGAGAAGATTAACAAGAGATCTGGTAAGAGGAAACAATTCGGGAACAACCCCTCTGGCTTCCCTGGCTATGTTCAGGTGTGGGGACTGGGTGTGTGGACTGGGTGTGTGGCATGGACCACAGACAAGCCTGGGTCCAGGCTGGGCTGAGGAGCTCACCCAGCTCCAGATGAGATGTTAGACTTGACTTCCAGAAACACAGAGTGGAGTTGGCATCTGTATAAAAAAACCACATGACAAAGGAGAGGTTCCTAGATGGCCAAGTAGGAACAGCCCTAGTCTAAAGCTCCCAGTGTGAGCAATGCGTTTCTGCATTTCCAGCTGAGGTACCAGGTTCATCTCACTGGGACTGGTTGGACCATGGGTGCAGTCAATGAAGTGTGAGCCGAAGCAGGGTGGGGCATTACCTCACCTAGGAAGCTCAAGGGGTTGGGGAATTCCCTTTCCTAGCCAAGGGAGGCTGTGACAGACGGTAGCTGGAAAATCTGGACACTCCCACCCTAATACTGTGCTTTTCCAACAGTCTTAGCAAACAGCACACCAAGAGATTATATCCTGCGCCTGGCTCAGAGGATCCCACATCCAAGGAGCCTCACTCACTGCTAGCACAGCAGTCTGAGATTGAACTGCAAGGTGGCAGCGAGGCTGGGGGAGGGGCGTCTGCCATTGCTGAGGCTTGAGTAGGTAAACAAAGCGGCCAGGAATCTCAAACTGGGTAGAGCCCACCCCAGCTCAAGGAGGCCTGCCTGCCTCTATAGACTCCACCTCTGGGGGTAGGACATAGCTGAACAAAAGGCAGCAGAAACTTCTGCAGACTTAAAAGTCCCTGTCTGACAGCTTTGAAGAGAGTAGTGGTTCTCCTAGCACAGAGTTTGAGATGGGAGAATGGTAAGACTGCCTCCTCAAATGGGACCCTGATCCCCAAGTAGCCCAACTGGGAGACACCTCCCAGTAAGGGCTGACTGACACCTCATACAGCCGGGTGCCCCTCTGAGACGAAGCTTCCAGAGGAAGGATCAGGCAGCAACATTTGCTGTTCTGCAATATTTGCTGTTCTGCAGCCTCCACTGGTGATACCCAGGCAAACAGGGTCTGGAGTGGACCTCCAGCAAACTCCAACAGACCTACAACTGAGGGTCCTGACTGTTAGAAGGAAAAATAAACAGAAAGGACAACCACACCAAAACCCCATCTGTATGTCACCATCAGCAAAGACCAAAGGTAGATAAAACCACAAAGATGGGGAGAAACCAGAGCAGAAAAGCTGAAAATTCTAAAAATCAGAGTGCCTCTTCTCCTCCAAAGGAACACAGTTTCTCGCCAGCAACGGAATAAAGCTGGATGGAGAATGACTTTGACAAGTTGAGAGAAGAAGGCTTCAGATGATCAGTAATAACAGACTTCTCCAAGCTAAAGGAGGATGTTTGAACCCATTGCCAAGAAACTAAAAATCTTGAAAAAAGGTTAGACGAATGGCTAACTAGAATAAACAGCATAGAGAAGACCTTAAATGACCTGATAGAGCTGAAAACCATGGCACGAGAACTACGTGATGCATGCACAAGCTTCAGTGGCCAATTCGATCAAGTGGAAGAAAGGGTATCAGTGATTGAAGATCAAATGAATGAAATGAAGCAAGAAGAGAAGTTTAGAGAAAAAAAAGAGTAAAAAGAAACAAACAAAGCCTCCAAGAAATATGGGACTATGTGAAAAGACCAAATCTACGTCTGATTGGTCTACCTGAAAGTGATGGGGAGAATGGAACCAAGGTGGAAAACACTCTGCAGGATATTATCCAGGAGAACTTCCCCAACCTAGCAAGGCAGGCCAACATTCAAATTCAGGAAATACAGAGAATGCCACTAAGATACTCCTTGAGAAGAGCAACTCCAAGACACATAATTGTCAGATTCACCAAAGTTGAAATGAAGGAAAAAATGTTAAGGGCAGCCAGAGAGAAAGGTCGGGTTACCCACAAAGGGAAGCCCATCAGACTAACAGCAGATCTCTCGGCAGAAACTCTACAAGCCAGAAGAGACTGAGGGCCAATATTCAACATTCTTAAAGAAAAGAATTTTCAACCCAGAATTTCATATCCAGCCAAACTAAGCTTCATAAGTGAAGGAGAAATAAAATCCTTTACAGACAAACAAATTCTGAGAGATTTTTTCACCACCAGTCCTGCCTTACAAGAGCTCCTGAAGGAAGCACTAAACATGGAAAGCCACTGCAAAAACATCCCAAATTGCAAAGACCATCAATGCTAGAAAGAAACTACATCAACCAAAGAGCAAAATAACCTGCTAACATCATAATGAGAGGATCAAATTCACACATAACAATATTAACCTTAAAGGTAAATGGGCTAAATGCTCCAATTAAAAGACAAAGACTGGCAGATTGGATTAAGAGTCAAGACCCATCAGTGTGATGTATTCAGGAGACCTATCTCATGTGCAGAGACACACATAGGCTCAAAATAAAGGGATGGAGGAAGATCTACTAAGCAAATGGAAAACAAAAAAAAAAGCAGGGGTTGCAATCCTAGTCTTTGATAAAACAGACTTTAAACTAACAAAGATCAAAAGAGACAAAAAAGGCCATTATGTAATGGTACAAGGGTCAATTCAACAAGAAGAGCTAACTATCCTAAATATATATGGACCCAATATAGGAGCACCCAGATTCATAAAGCAAGTCCTTAGAGACCTACAAAGAGACTTAGAATCCCACACAATAATAATGGGAGACTTTAACACCCCACTGTCAACATTAGACAGATCAACGAGACAGAAAGTTAACAAGGATATCCAGGAATTGAACTCAACTCTGCACCAAGGGGACCTAATAGACATCTACAGAACTCTCCACCACAAATCAGCAGAATATACATTCTTCTCAGCACCACATCAAACTTATTCCAAAATTGACCACATAGTTGGAAGTAAAGCACTCCTCAGCAAATGTAAAAGAACAGAAATTATAACAAACTGTCTCTCAGACCACGCCGCAATCAAACTAGAACTCAGGATTAAGAAATGCACTCAAAATCGCTCAACTACATGGAAACTGAACAACCTGCTCCTGAATGACTACTGGGTACATAACGAAATGAAGGCAGAAATAAAGATGTTCTTTGAAACCAATGAGAACAAAGACACAATATACCAGAATCTCTGAGACACATTTAAACCAGTATGTAGAGGGAAATTTATAGCACTAAATGCCCACAAGAGAAAGCAGGAAGGATCTAAAATCGACACCCTAACATCACAATTAAAAGAACTAGAGAAGCAAGAGCAAACACATTCAAAAGCTACCAGAAGGCAAGAAATAACGAAGATCAGAGCGGAACTGAAGGAGATGGAGACACAAAAAACCCTTCAAAAAATCAATGAATCCAGGAGCTGGTTTTTTGAAAAGATCAACAAAATTGATAGACTGCTAGCAGGACTAATAAAGAAGAAAAGAAAGAATAATCAAATAGACGCAATAAAAAATGATAAAGGGGATATCACCACCAATCCCACAGAAATACAAACTACCATCAGAGAATACTATAAACACCTCTATGCAAATAAATTAGAAAATCTAGAAGAAATGGATAAATTCCTGGACCATACACCCTCCCAAGACTAAACCGAATACTATAAACACCTCTATGCAAATAAACTAGAAAATCTAGAAGAAATGGATAAATTCCTGGACACATACACCCTCCCAAGACTAAACCAGGAAGAAGTTGAATCCCTGAATAGACCAATAACAGGCTCTGAAATTGAGGCAATAATTAATAGCCTAGCAACCAAAAAAAGTCCAGGACCAGACGGATTCACAGCCGAATTCTACCAGAGGTACAAAGAGGAACTGGTACCATTCCTTCTGAAGCTATTCCAAACAATAGAAAAAGAGGGAATCCTCCCTAATTGATTTTATCAGGCCAGCATCGTCCTGATACCAAAACCTGGCAGAGACACAACAAAAAAAGAGAATTTTAGAGCAATAGCCCTGTTGAACATCGATGCAAAAATCCTCAATAAAATACTGGCAAACTGAATCCAGCAGCACATCAAAAAGCTTATCCACTACAATCTAGTTGGCTTCATCCCTGGGATGCAAGGCTAGTTCAACATACACAAATCAATAAATGTAATCCATCATATAAACAGAGCCAAAGACAAAAACCACGTGATTATCTCAATAGATGCAGAAAAGGCTTTCAAAAAAATTCAGCCTTTCATGCTAAAAACTCTCAATAAACTAGGTATTGATGAGATGTATCTCAAAATAATAAGAGCTATTTATGACAAACCCACAGCCAATATCATACTGAATGGGCAAAAACTGGAAGCATTCCCTTTGAAAACTGGCACAAGACACAGATGCCCTCTCTAACCACTCCCATTCAACATAGTGTTAGAAGTTCTGGCCAGGGCAATCAGGCAAGAGAAAGAAATAAAGGGCATTCAATTAGGAAAAGAGGAAGTTAAATTGTCCCTGTTTGCAGATGACATGATTGTATACTTAGAAAATCCCATCGTCTCAGCCCAAAATCTCCTTAAGCTGGTAAGCAACTTTAGCAAAGTCTCAGGATACAAAATCAATGTGCAAATATCACAACCATTCCTATACACCAATAACAGAAAAACAGAGAGCCAAATCATGAATGAACTCTCATTCACAATTGCTACTAAGATAATAAAATACCTAGGAATCCAACTAACAAGGGATGTGAAGGACCTCTTCAAGGAGAACTACAAAATACTGTTCAACGAAATAAAAGAGGACACAAACAAATGGAAGAATATTCCATGCCCATGGATAGGAAGAATCAGTATCATGAAAATAGCCATACTGCCCAAGGTAATTTGTAGATTCAATGCCATCCCCATCAAGCTACCAATGACTTTCTTCACAGAATTGGAAAAAAATACTTTAAAGTTCACATGGAACCAAAAAAGAGCCCACATTGCCAAGACAATCCCAAGCAAAAAGTAGGCATCACGCTACCTGACTTCAAACTATACTACAAGACTACAGTAAACAAAACAGTATGGTACTCATACCAAAACAGAGATATAGACCAATGGGACAGAACAGAGCCCTCAGAAATAATACCACACATCTACAACCATCTGATCTTTGACAAACCTGGCAAAAACAAGAAAAGGGGAAAGGATTCCCTATTTAATAAATGGTTCTGGGAAAACTGGCTAGTCATATGTAGAAAGCTGAAACTGGATCCCTTCCTTATACCTTATACAAAAATTAATTCAAGATAGATTAAATACTTAAATGTTAGACCTAAAACCATAAAAATCCTAGAAGAAAACCTAGGCAATACCATTCAGGACATAGGCATGGGGAAGGATTTCATGACTAAAACAACAAAAGCAGTGGCAACAAAAGCCAAAATAGATAAATGGGATCTAATTAAACTAAAGAGCTTCTGCACAGCAAAAGAAACTGCCATCAGAGTGAACAGGCAACCTACAGAATGGGAGAAAAATTTTGCAATCTACCTATCTGACAAAGGGCTCATATCCAGAATCTACAAAGAATGTAAACAAATTTACAAGAGAAAATCAACCCCATCAAAAAGTGGGCAAAGGATATGAACAGACACTTCTCAAAAGAAGACATTTATGCAGCCAACAGACACATGAAAAAATGCTCATCATCACTGGCCATCAGAGAAATGCAAATCAAAACCACAATGAGATACCATCTCACACCAGTTAGAATGGCAATCATTAAAAAGTCAGGAAACAACAGGTGCTGGAGAGGATGTGGAGAAATAGGAACACTTTTACACTGTTGGTGGGACTGTAAACTAGTTCAACCATTGTGGAAGACAGTATGGAGATTCCTCAAGGATCTAGAACTAGAAATGCCATTTGACCCAGCCATCCCATCACTGAGTATATACCCAAAGGATTATAAATCATGCTACTATAAAGACCATGCACACGTATGTTTATTGTGGCACTATTCACAATAGCAAAGACTTGGAACCAACCCAAATGTCCATCAATGACAGACTGGATTAAGAAAATGTGGCACATATACACCATGGAATACTATGCAGCCATAAAAAGGATAAGTTCATGTCCCTTGTAGGGACATGGATGAAGCTGGAAACCATCATTCTGAGCAAACTATCACAAGGACAGAAAACCAAACACCACATGTTCTCACTCATAGGTGGGAATTGAACAATGAGAACACTTGGGCACAGGGTGGGGAACATCGCACACTGGTGCCTGTCATGGGATGGGGGGCTGGGGGAAGGATAGCATTAGGAGATACACCTAATGTAAAAGACGAGTTAATGGATGCAGCACACCAACATGGCACGTGTATATATATGTAACAAACTTGCACGTTGTGCACATGTACCCTAGAATTTAAAGTGTAATTAAAAAAAAAAAAAAAAAAGAGAGACTTGGAGCAACTCTTCCAAATTTCTCAGCTCCAGCTCCAGATTCCTAGTCCATAAGATGGAAATACAGAATCATAGTTCATAAATTGTTAGGAGGCATTAAATTTAATCTAGAAGGCCTGATGACATAAAAGGTGCTCAAGCAATTCTATCTGTGATAACCTGGGATCATATCTTACTCAGCTCAATGCCTGATACCCAATATAGGTGTACTTCAGAGATATTGTCGGTTCGGTTCCAGACCACTGCAATAAAGTGAGTCACACACATTGCTTTTTTGGTTTCGCAGTGCATAAAAACATTACATTTACACTATACTGCAGTCTACTAATTGTGCAATAGCATTATGTCTAAAAATGTACATACCTTAATTTTAAAATAATTCATTGATTAAAAAATGCTAACAATCTTCTGAGCCTTCAGTGAGTCACACTCTTTTTGCTGGTGGAGGGTCTTGCCTCGGTGTTGATGGCTGCTGGCTGATCAAAGTGGTGGTTGCTGAAGGGTGGAGTGGCTGTGGCAGTTTCTTAAAATAACACAATGAAATTTGCCACATCAGTTAGCTCTCCCTTTCTTGAAGGATTTCTCTGTAGTATGTGATGCTATTGGATAGCATTTTGCCCACAGTAGAACTTTCACAGTTGGAGTCAATCCACTCTAGCTATGAAAGTCCTAGATGGCATCTCCTTCCAATAGAAGGCTAGTTTATCTACATTGAAAATCTGTTGTTTAGTGGAGCCACCTCCATCAGTGATCTTAGCTAGATCTTCTGGATAAGTTGCTGCAGCTTCTCCATCAGGGTTTGCTGCTTCACCTTGCACTTTTATGTTATGGAGACGGCTTCTTTCCTTAAACCTCATGAACCATCCTCTGCTAGCTTTACACGTTTCTCCTGCAGCTTCTTCACCTCTCTCAGCTTTCATGGACTTGAAGAGAGTTCTGGTCTTGCTCTGAATTAGACTTTGGTTTAAGGGAATGTTGTAACTGGTTTCATGTTCTATCCTGACCACTCAAACTTCCTCTATTTCAACAGTAAGGCTGTTTTGCTTTCTTATTCTTCTGTTCACTGGAGTATTAGTATTAGTATTTCCTTCAAGAACTTTTCCTTTGCAGTATATACTATTATTTCCTTCAAGAACGTTTCCTTTGCATTATATACTATAATTTCCTTCAAGAACTTTTCCTTTGCATTCACAGCTTGGCTGTTTGGTACAAGAGGCAGAGCTTTCAGCCTATCTTGGCTTTCAGCATGCCTTCCTCACTAAGCTTAGCCATTTCTAGCTTCTGATTTAAAGTGAGAGACATGCGACTCTTCCTTTCATTGGAACATTTGGCAGCCATTGTAGGGTCGTTAATAATCCTCATTTCAGTGTTGCTGTGTCTCAGAAAATAGGGAGGCCCAAGAAAAGGAGGAGAGATGGGGAACAGCTCATCAGTGGAGCAGTCAGAACACACGCAACATTGGCCGATTAAGTTTGTCATTGTCTATGGGTGCAGTTCCTGGTACCCCCAAAACAATTACACCCAAGAGGGTGATTATAGTCAATAATAACTTAATTGTACATTTAAAAAATCTTTAAAAGAGTGTAAACGGATTGTTTGCAACACAAGGATAAATGTTTGAGGGCATGGAGACCCTATTTTCCATGATGTGATTATTACGCATGGCATGCCTGTATCAAAGCATCTCACGTACCCCATAAGTATATACACCTACTGTGTACCCACAAAAATAAAAAACAAAATTATTTTAAAAGACTAAAAAACAACAAAAACAATTGCAGTAATAACATTAATGCTCACTGATGACAGATCACCATAACAGACATAATAATAATGAAAAAGTATAAAATTGGTGAGAATTTCAAAAAAAAATTGCAGTATCTGCGAAGCACTATAAAAATGAGGTGCCATAAAACAAGGTATGCCTGTGTGCCCTTAACAAATACGTGCTGAATGAAAGGAGGTATCCATGAACGTTCCTGTGAGTAAAGAGGTTGGGAATTTAAACCTGACAACGAACGGAGCCAGAAGTTAAAACTTTAATGGGCATTTGACCTGTATTGGTGTGGGTCTAAGGTCTCAGCCTCTCTAGCCAGAGAATGTGAAAAACTGGATAAAGAAGGCCCATGGGCACTTGGGAGCGGGGAGGCATCTCCTGTTTTTGAGAAAACAGAGCCTAACACTCTTCAACCTACCCAACACTCATCTTCCAACTCTTCTCCATCATAGGACCCAAAACGGGGAAACATGCCTGGACCCACAGACTGCGTGAGAGAAAACAGCTGGTGATTTACGAAGAGATCAGCGACCCTGAGGAAGACGACGAGTAACTCCGTAAGTGAACCTTCGGCCCACCCCCCCACATCTTTGTAGATGTGCTATTCTGTTATGGTACCGGTATCCCATCTTATCACTTGTTCCCGAAATCATTCCTTTCTCATAATTTTCTAGGGTACAGCATTGAGGCTGAATGAATAAATTTCCCATGCTCTTTCGTATTTCTTTTTTTTTTTTTTTTTTTTTTTTTTTGAGACAGAGTCTCACTTTGTCGTTCAGGCATGATCTCCGCTCACTGCAAGCTCCACCTCCCGGGTTCACGCTATTCTGCCTCAGCCTCCCCAATAGCTAGGACTACAGCGCCTGCCACCATGTCCGGCTAAATTTTTTTGTATTTTTAGTAGAGACATGGTTTCCCCATATTAGCCAGGATGGTCTCTGTCTCCTGACCTCGTGATCTGCCCACCACGGCTTCCCAAAGTGCTGGGATTACAGGCATAATCCACCGCATCCGGCCGATTTCGCATTCTCTCTTTACTCCCTGGCCTGTACATCCAGGGATGCTCCCTACCCAGGATGCTGTGGATTCCCAAACCCCAGGTCAGCCCTGATACGCGGGCCACACCTTCCTCTAGCCTAGGAATTGATAACCCAGGAGAGGAAGTCACTGTGGCATGTGCAGATGGTTCACTTCAAGGAACCGTGGAAGGCCTGTGTGGGTCCTGAGGTAGGGCAGAATCGGAGTGTGCAGGGTCTGCAGGTCAGGAGGAGTTGAGATTGAGTTATCGGGCAGTGGGAACTCACTGCCACTTACTTTCCTTCTCTCTTCTTGCCTCAGCCTCAGAGATATGACACATGCCCACAATGAGAAGCAGAACGTGGTGACCTTTCACGAACATGGGCATGGCTGTGGACCCCTCGTCATCAGGTGTATAGCAAGTCAAAGCAAGTGTTCACAACAGTGAAAAGTTGAGCATCATTTTTCTTAGTGTGCCAAGAGTTCGATGTTAGCATTTCCGTTGTATTTTCTTGCAGTATGCCATTCTGTTAGATACTAGTGTTTTCATTGACGAGTAAGACATACTTAATGCATATTTCGGTTCGGGTATCCATGCACCTACCTCAGAAAACAAGTATTGTCAGGTATTCTCTCCATAGAACAGAACTACCCTCCTTTCTCCCCAGATGTGACTACTGAGGTCAGGTCTGAGTGTTTAATTTCCGATTTTTTCCTCTGCATTTACACACACACTACACTCGCGCACACACACACACTAAGTACCAGTAGAAGCATCTCCCATCTGCTTTTCTCCAGTGCCATGCGCCCTGGTCAAGCCCCGCTCACTGTTTCCTGTTCAGCATGCATTCCCCTTATCCGATTCCCATGTATCAGTCACTGACAGTTAATAAACATTTGCAAACGTTCCCCAGTTGTTTGCTCCTCTCACTGTTGTACACACAGCTCTGTGCACGTGTGTGAATATTTCTTTAGGAGAGATTCTTAGAAGTGGAATTGCTGCATCAAAGGAGTCATTTATTCAACAAAACCCTAATGAATGCGTCCTCGTGCTGAGCGCTGTTCTAGGTGCTGGAGAGACATCAGGGAACAAGGCAGGCAGATGTTGCTGACCACCATTCTAGAGGAGGATGTTTCCGGTTGCTGGGTGTTTGCTTTTTTCTTCTAGAGACGGGGTCTTGCTCTATCCAGGCTGGAGTGCAGTGGCATGATCATAGCTCAGTGCAGCCTTGAACTGCTGGGCTCAAGCGATCCTCCCTCCTCAGCCTCCAAAGTAGCTGTGACTACAGGCACCCACCACCACACCCCACTAACTTTTTTAGGTTTTGTCAAGAGTCTCGCTATGTTACCCAGGCTGGTCTCGAACTCCTAGGCTCAAGAGATCCTCCCGCCTTGGCCTCCTAAAGAGCTGGGATTACAGGCATGAACCACTGTGCCTGGCCTCCAGTTTTTATTTTGATAGAGACTATACACTTCATTCCTGGAGCAGGATTCTGCAGCAGGTGGTTGGGCATCTTGGCCTTTGCTCTCTGCATGATTTTGGGGTTCAAGGGCTGGGACGGTCTATTTAGAAGTATGTGGGAGGAGACATAGATGAAATCATCATCTGGGGAACGTGGAGGAATGAGGAAGATGGGTGCACGGTAGACCCTGTGATGGACAGGGAATAGAAGAGTCCACTTAGTCTCCATGCAGGGGAGCAACGGTTGGAAAGTCCCCTGGACAGAAGCATGAGACTGCCCATCAAGGGTCTCACCAACCAAGGGCCTGGGGGCTGGGGTGGGGACGATGATTTGGGAATGCGTCAGTTCTTTCTCACAGGTACCACTGCACAGTGCAGAGGGGAAACAGTTGTGGGGAAGGGAAGGGCAGAGGGGAGTCTATTTTTAAATCATTGTGTGCGAATGGAGACCATTAAGACTCACACCTATAATCCCAGCACTTTGGGAGGCCGAGACAGGCAGATCACTTGAGGTCAGGAGCTCAAGACCAATCTGGCCAACATGGAGAAACCATGTCTCAACTAAAAATATAAAAATTAGCTGGGTGTGGTGGCTCACGACTGAAACTCCAGCTACTCAGGAGGCTGAGGCAGGAGAATCGCTTGAACCTGGGAGGCAGAGGTTGCAGTGAGGCGAGATTACCCCACTGCACTCCAGCTTGGGCAACACAAGTGAGACTCCATCTCAAAAAAATATATATGTAGCTAAGACACTTTTTGAAAAAGAAGAATAAGGTGGGAGGAATGTCTCTACCATATTTCAATATTTCTTATATAGCTACAGGAATCAAGACTGCGTAGTATTGGGAGAATAGACACATAGATCACTGGAACAAAATAGAGAACCTAGAAATAGCTCCACACTGATTTTTTACAAAGAGACAAAGAGAAGGAAGGATTGTCTGCTTAACAAATGGTGCTAGAGAAGTTGCAGAGCCATAGGCCAATTTTAAAAATGACCTAATCTTCATACCTTTATACAAAAAAAAAAAACTCAAGTGGACCATAGATTTAAATCTAAAATATAAAACTAAAACTAAAACTTTTACAAGAAAACATAGGAGAAACGTCTGAGATCTAGGGCATAGTAAACAGCTCGAAAAGCATAATCCATAAGGAAAAAAATAAATTAGATTTCATCCAATTTAAAACTTTTGCTCTGCAAGAAACCCTGTTAAAAGGATGGAAAAAAAGGTATGGAATGGGAGAATATGTTTGCAAATCACATATACATCCAGAATGTATAATGAATATGTATAGTACTCTCAAAACTCAATGGTAGGCCATGGCTCACACTTGTAATCCCAGCACTTTGAAAGGTCGAGGTGGATGGAGGGCAGATTTCTTGAGGGCAGGAGCTTGAGACCAGCCTGAGCAACATGGCAAAAACCCATCTCTACTAAAAATACAAAAATTAGGCATGATGGTTCGTGCCTGTAATCCCAGCTACGTGGGAGGCTGAGGCATGAGAATCGCTTGAACCTGGGAGGCGGAGATTGGAGTGAGCCAAGATCATGCCACTGCACTCCAGCCTGGGTAACAGAGCAAGAGGCTCTCTCAAAAACAAACAAGCAAACAAAAACTCAAAGGTAAAAAACAAATAAATAATCCAATTGGAAAATGATCAAAATATATGAACATATATTTCACTGAAGAGGAAATAAGCAAATAAGCACATGAAAAGATGTTCAACACTAATTTGCATCACTAGATGCAAATTAAGACCATGATGAGGTATCACTACACACTTATTACAACAGCTAAAATTAAAAACATAGTGACAACACGAAATGGTGACAAAGATGCAGAGAAATTGGACATCTTGTAAAATGCTGCTGGGAAGGTAAAATCTTACAGCCACTTTGGAAAACTGTTTAGTAGTTTCTTATAAAACTGAACATGCAATGAGCACACAATTCAACAATGACACTTCAGAGAAATTAAAATTTATGCCCATCCAGAAACTTATACGTAATTGTTCATAGCAGCTTTACTTGTAATAGCCAGAAGCTCAAAATAATCAATATGTCCAACAATAAGGGAATGGTCAAACTGTGGTACATCCATACCATGAATTACTACTCACTAATAAGAATGAACTATTGATACACAAATTTTTTTTTTTTTTGAGATGGAGTCTCGCTGTGTTGCCCAGGCTGGAGTGCAGTGGCACCATCTCGGCTCACTGCAAGCTCTGCCTCCCGGGTTCACACCATTCTCCTGCCTCAGCCTCCTGAGTAGCTGGGACTACAGGTCCCCGCCACCATGCCCGGCTAATTTTTTGTAGTTTTTAGTAGAGACGGGGTTTCACCATGTTAGCCAGGATGGTCTCAATCTCTTGATCTTGTGATCCGCCCACCTCAGCCTCCCAAAGTGCTGGGATTACAGGCATGAGTCGCCATGCCCGGCCTTGATACACAAATATTAATGTCTTGGATGAATCTCCAGAGATTATGCTGAGTGAAATAAGCCCCTAAAATGTTGTCTACCCAGGAGGCAAAGAGTTGCAGTGAGCTTAGACACTGCACTCCAGCCTGGGCAACCGAGTGAGACTCCGTCTCAACAACAACAACAACAACAACAATGAACTATTGATAAACAAATATCAATATTTTGGATGAATCGCCATGGAATTATGCTGAGTGAAATAAGCCCCTAAAACGTTACATACTGTAAGATTTCATTTGTACAGCATTGTAGAAAAGACAAAATTTTAGAAATGAAAAACAGATTAGTGGTTGCCAGGGATTAGGGATGGTGGATGGGAGGAGAGTGGGTATTACTAAAAATGAGTAGCACAAGGGATAACATTGTGGTGATGAAAATGGTTTGTAACTTTTTTGAGACAGAGTTTTGCTCTGTCTCCCAGGCTGGAGTGCAGTGGCACGATCTCTGCTCACTGCAACCTCTGCCTCTCGGGTTCAAGCGATTCTCCTGTCTCAGCCTCCCATGTAGCTGGGATTACAAGTGCGTGCCACCATGCCTGGCTAATTTTTGCGTTTTTAGTAGAGAGGGGATTTCTCCATGTTGGCCAGGCTGGTCTCAAACTCCTGACCTCAAGTGATCTGCCCACCTTGGCCTCCCAAAGTGCTGGAACTACAGGCATGAACCACTGCACCCGGCCATGTACTGTATCCTTTTTTTTTTTTTTTTAATATAAGCTTTATTTTAAATTCAAAGAAATGTTAAACTTTTTTTTACAAATTATAATCAAGCACTCAAACAATTTAGGAATTTTAAACACTAATTCTTAACTGAAAATAATGACATCCATAGAATACATCCTGATGTTGGCCAACATGACATTTACTTAATATTAGTATTTTATGTATGCTTAACCATTCATTCTTCCTAAAATTCAATGATAACAATGATTTGACTTTATAAGGTAAAGCCTTTTATGTAATACACTAGAGATAACTTTTTCAAATACAAAACATTTATACCAGCAAGGAAATTATGAAAACATATATAAAGTATACTGAAGGATGTGATTTAAAGGCTGTCTGTATACATAGATGCCTTTCATCTTAGAAAGTACACATGCACATCAAAACACTTTTACTGAATATAGATGCCATTACATTCTCTTACATTACAAAGCAAACAGCAGGTTCATAAACGTTCTTCTATTATGTATCAACGGAAAAAAATATATATTCCAAAAAACGGTTTTGAAGACACATGGGAGTGGAATGTGCCCGCATTAAGAGCAGAGCTTTTACAAGACCACCTCTCTCCAGCCAGCTCCCAGGGACCACTGAAAACAGCTGTTACCCTCAGAACGACAAGATGGCCTTGTTAATGATTTCACTCAACTCTCAAATCTCATCCTCCTTGACCCCAGCAGAGGTGAAACTTGATGATGTCACCATGGGTTGGCTTGGCCAGAAGTCCATAATCTTGAAGTTGTAGACACACCTTCCAAGCATCACAATCTTTGGTTTCTTTAATAACAATAGCGTTTAATAATTCTTTTCCTCACCGGGCACAGTGACTCACGCCTGTAATCCCAACACTTTGGGAGGCAGAGGCAGGTGGGTCACCTGAGGTCAGGAGTTTGAGACCAGCTTGATCAACATGGCAAAATCCCATCTCTACCAAAAATACAAAAATTAGTCAGGCATAGTGGCGCGTGCCTGTAATCCCAGCTACTCAGGAGGCTGAGGCAGGAGAATCATTTGAACCCATGAGGCAGAGGTTATAGTGAGCCGATATCACGCCATTACACTCCATCCTGGGCAACCAGAGTGAACCTCTGACTCAAATAAATAAATAAATAAATAAAATAATTATTTTCCTCTTACGGCAGTTACAACATTAGAAGGTAGCTTCATGGGTTCATTTATCAAGATAATACCCATTTTTTCTGCATTTTCAGCAAGGTTTTCTTCTAAAACCTCAAGGA